CAAAAACCAAAAAACCTTTACAACCAATTTATAAGTGAACTCAAAGTCTCAATTTATATCTGCAAAAAACAAACAACCCTAATATTTATTTTTATTTTATTTATCCTTTATTTAACCAGGTATTACCCATTGAGATTAAAAATCTCTTTTGCAAGGGAAACCTGGCCAAGATGGGCATCAAAATTACATCACATCATTACATACGTACAAAGACACACACATAAAAGCCAAATATGCACTTACAATAAAATTTCATTAAAACATTGACATGTGAGGGAGTCCAACTCAAAACATCTAATTCTCAACTTAAAAGTTTTCAAAGGAACCAATTTACTAAGTTTCATGTTATTTTGCAGCAAATTCCATGTAAAGGGAGCAGAGCAAGCAAAGGCGTTTTTACCCAGCTCAGTACCGACACATGGGACAGAAAACAAGACAACAGCCTGAGAACGGAGAGAGTAATGACCAGTACTTTTTTTCATAAGAAGTGAACATAAATAAGCTGGAAGCGCACCAAGAATAGCCTTATATATAAATATATACCAATGACAAAGCCTCCGTGTAGTAATAACCGAAAGTCCAAAACTGTCCATTCTTTCTATTTTTAATAATAAAGTCCAAGCAGGAGTTCCATGTCCTCTGAACTCAAAGCAAAATCCTGGAAGCCTTTAAGTCCAAAGTCCTTTCAAAACGAAAAATCCAGACGACATACACCCCCCACCAAAAAGAATAAATAAATAAATAAAAGATTAGAAAAATCCCCAAAAAGAAAAATAAGGTCCAGATCTCAGGAGCGTCTTTCTTTCCCCTGAGCGGCGCGTCTCCTGATGGCGTCCTCTGGGTCCAAACTCCGATCTTTGACTGGGTTTTATTTTTTTTTATTTTATTTCTTCATTGTTTTTGACTTGTTTCAGACAACCAGGCAAAAACTCCCGCTGCACAGACCCGTCAGTGCGCGTGTTCCTCACCTGTCGAGCCGCGCGCGCCCCTTTTTATTAAGACATTTCTCCACATCAAAATAACCCAGCATATTAATTCCCATCATCATTTTTAACCAGTGGAGATTTGAAATAATATTACCAATAAACTAACTGTTCTACAAGACAGTTTGTTATCGATACACTTTAATGTACTTTATACAAAAAGAGAAAATAACAGTGGTTCTGTTAGACTGCAGAGGAAGAGGGACAGAAGCTGAGCAGACTGGGAGGAGCTGCAGGTGGAACCATCTTTACAGGGACGGTGTAGGTACCAGGCTGCGTACTTCCGAGGACGCAGCCTACCCAGCCTCCGGAGGAC